TCAATTAAGGATTTGAGCTTACATCAAAATGCAATGCGACCTGCGCCAGGACGTGCCAAGCAAGATGCTTCTCCAGCGAGTGGAGACACTCTTGCAAGACCCACCTCCTGCGGACTGGACCCCTGTCCACGTGCTTACAGAGAAGTGAGCGACATCTACATAGGACTTGGATAGGAAGTGGAACTGCTACTGCTACACTTGTAGTTTGATTTTCCGTCGTCCGAAAGTGCGAAAGTGCGTCACGTTGTCTCTATCACGGAGCAGTTCTGACCTCGGAGGTTATACACAACGCAACCGTGGCAGACTTCACTTTTCCCATCTGCCCACGCTCAATACTACAGTGTTACTAAAGCACAGGGGTCAAACCCACTCAGCTACACTTCCAAGTCCGATGTCGATGCCAGATCCGCCTTAGCCGCTTTTTATCACTTTAGCCCAGAGTCGGAAGGTCAGTCTTTGTTTATCCCAGGGCCGAATCTCAGGTAACATTGTAAGCCTGGGGTCAAGTACCACGTCCAACGAATCGTGCTGTGCTTCCAAAAGATGAAGCACTCAGCGACCAGAGGCTCTTGAGGATCACCATCTTGGATCCTGAGAAGGGATACTGGTTCCACCGGTTTCGGAGGCGACTGTGTACATTCTACGGGCACCTACGGGCACCAGAACCCTCCTGCCTGAAGAATGAGGAAATTTTGTAAAGATGCTGCTGGGGAACCGAAAAATGGTCCAGCTGTTTCGCGACGTCAGTCATCGCTCCCGGAAAGAGTGTTTGAGAAGCGAAACTTCAGGACCGAGGCCGCGGCGAAGATCACTTGATCATGCGTTTGCCTGGCAATATTGCAAGGATTCCTCAGTTCCATGTGGCTCTCGCAGCTTCGCTGCATCATAGGACGGCAGCTGTGGCAAAGTGGAAACTGCTCCCAACCCAGAACTCACCGATACGCATTCGCCAGTGTCCCTGGATCACTTTGCCCGTGCGGAGTACAACACCCGTTTCTCGAGCCAAGTCTCACGCCAGTTTCAGTAACCTCCTGGATGCAGACTCCCAGTTCCGATGCTCTGCCATGCGCCATGCCGGCATTTTGCAGCCATGGGCCGCTTAGATGCACGACCGTATACATAATCGTGCTCATAGTAGACTACAGGCAAGATAACGTCGTCCTCCTTGTTTTCGCCGAAATGCGTCTGCTGAGCTGCGGCTGCATGTTCTTTTGACATTAGGTGACGACAGCTGCGACGCATGAATGCAAATCTTACCATTGCAGCATGCAAGTAAGCCATATTTGCGGTATCTTTGTGCGGAAGGGCTGAAAGACACCCGAGTCGGGCTCTCCTTTCCTTACCTCAGGTCTTGTGGACGCTGAGGCACCCGCGGCATGTGTGTTTGTGGTCGGGTGATGAGTGTTATCCTTCGAAAGATCAGAACCTACTTGTAAGTCTGGCGAGCTTATCATTCAAGGTCATTCGCAGATATTCGAAGCCGAACAGAGAACCTCTTGAGGCTGTGACTGCAGTGAGGATCCATCTCAGCGAGTGAAGTTCTGGTGAATTTGCCTGCACGGAGAGCCAGCGACTAGCTGCGCCGACACCCCTGGCTTCAGAAGTCAGATAGATGGAGGTTCATGCTCCTCCCCATACCCACACTACAAAAACTGAGTCAAAGGGAAAATCCCGTCCTCTCACTCCCACATCTCCCACCTAGCAGACCTAGCACTTTTGGCCGGAGTTTGGCAGCTCAAGACTGCATCGAAGGCACCCCCGATGAGCAAAGACGGACAGAAACTATCCATTGATGTTAAGCCCATGCGCCGCAATGGCATGCGCACATTCGCGCAGGCTCGCTGTTTGATAATTTGTGGATGTTTGTGGTTCATGGACCATGTAAAGCCTGCAAGCTCCAGCCCAGGCTACAGTCCCAGCAGGGTACTTCCTTTCGGTGTTGCAGTTGTAGAGACTGCAAGATCTTGACTCCAGGGCGTGGACCTGCGTGGACCTTTGGCTTTGGCAGCGACTCAACGCGAAGGCGGCGCCAAGCCTCCGCGCAGGCTGCTCGAGGGTGAGTTGGGCCATGTGGGGCTTCGTTGCCTTAAGCAGGTAAGTGACGGCACCTGCAGGCGCTGATTGCCACGACAGATCTTTTGTCGAAAGACCAACACCACTGCAGGAACAGACATATAGGCTCATGGATGAAGTGGATACATCGGCTGAAGTTCCCCACCAGGGCTTGAACAGCGACACAGGAATCGTACGGACAGGCTAGGCATGGGCACTAGCCTCAGATTCACATCAGACTCAACGAATGCCTTAATCAAAGCTTCCGTGGTGCATACAGTACAAAAAACCGGCAAGCCTAGTAAGCCTAGGGCATCATCTAATGCACCAGCAACTCATCGCGTCATGGTTGTATGACCTGCCTGAGCTGGAGATGATCCAGGCCGAAGACCGCTCCTCTGCACTGGCACACTCCAGATGCGGCAGATGAAGCAGATCCTGAAACTTGGTGAGGCACTGTTCGAGTTTACTTCGTGCCGCAAGTAGCCGCGAACCTTTACAACCTTCATGGGAAGGAAGCAAGCAGGAAGAATCTGTGACCATCGAGCCATAGCAAAGGCAGCGACGCGACTCGGGGTTGAGCATCATGAATGCCTATTCAAGCTGCCGGATCATGCAAGTTCACAAGGCGTCCTGCTGCTTCACATCCAAGCTTGCCCGGCCGAACAGAGACAGCAGGGCAGCAAAATCGATGCAGCCGTCTCAAAGCTGTGGCAATGAAAGTTTTCGTCGTGCGAAGCATAAACTCCAGATGCAAGCACACTCCTTCCATCCACTGAAAGCAAAAGACGAGCCTCCGGAACACCAAAGCATACCCTACAGTAGACCTTGACCCATATGAAGGAAAGCAGCTACATGCAACATCGTGTGACCGAGGATCCTCAGATGCAGGAGGCGAGAGGGCGAAGGGACGACAGCAGCAAGTGCTTTTCACGACTTGCCTAAGATGGGGCCTAGAAAGAACCAGAGCTTTGGGCGGTTTATTACTGTACTGAAAAAATAGAAAGGGGCTGTAACTGGAGAATGCTATCAAGTATTCCGACCGCTATATTAGCCGCTATATGTTATGAGAGTCTCCTGTCCACACTTGGATGGAAGTAGAGACAGGTAAAAACTATGGAAGTACGCGTGGGTGTGCCGAGCCCGGCCCTCTCTGATTCCGCAACCAACGTGCACAGGGAATCGAAGTGGACGAGGATGTCGTGACAGACCGGACGGTGCGGCTGGTAGAATTGCTTCGCAATGCCGAGGACGCGAAGTTGTGGGGCTTTGGGCTTCCATCGATGCTCCGTGGGTGCCGTTTTCGGTGGCGCTGCCTTAAAAATACGCAGATTTGGTTGGGATCACATTCTGTAGGAGAGTGTACACGGGGAGTACCCGCCGCTGCCCCGTCTGTGCAAATGTCAACAACCTTGCACATCCCCCCAATAGCTTGTCGCTCGTGTAATATCGCTTGTAACGACCCCTAAACCATATAGTACTGTGCCATACTGTGCCGTAGATAAGGCAGTTAAGGTATGCAAGTCGAGTTCTTTCCGCGAGCTGACAGGAGGTGCGGCCTCCCAAAGGACTCCCATGTGAAGGAAAAGTTGTTAGCCCTTTGCCAGCAATGCTCAGAGCTCCTCTTAAGCGACTCTCAGGTTTTAGTTGTCACAGTGTTTCCTGCATTCAGTTCTTGGTTAAGGTCGCAGTTTTGCAACTGCACCTGTTGCCTTGCCCGTGTGGATTTGAGAGCCATCGCTAAGACTGCTGACGGCCCCCCAGAGCTTCACAGCTTTCCAAAGGAACGCCTTCTTGTCAACTGCCCATGTGGCTGCGGAGGTCATCATGTAAAATCCTGCAGGATGATTTTGTTGTTGCTGCAAGCACCAGTCACTTCATGTTGAAATTCGGCTTCGGCACTGGCTGCATCCGCCGATGAGTGTCCCGAGCCTGCTGTATCTTCACACTGTCTCCCAGATAATTGGTGCAATAATTAGCGTGTTTAGCCATCCGCCTCCACTGAAAATTCTTTAAATGTGTCTGGCAGCTGGTCTGGAAGGTGGTCTCTCTGAGTCGTTCCTTGCAAGGTTTCGACAATGCCCTGGCATTCCTCCTTCGCTATGTGCGCTTTCTACGAGAGCGGCTGGGTGTAAACCGACTTTGCAGTGCTTGCAGCTTCGTCTGCAGAGCAAGCACCAACACCATCAAACTGTCAGCACGGCCGTCATCACTAGCATCATCACCACACGGCGAAGATCCTGAACTGGACTCCTCGCCCCGGGACCTGAGGCCCTAATCCTGAAACCTCGACCTCCAAAATTCCCGGACACCCGAGGAGCCTGTATTGCCACAGCAGCCTCGATGAAGCCCCAGGGAACCATTCTTCCAGAACCCTCCAGAAGGACTACCCCTCCCCCCTTTCCCGCTCCCCCCACTAGAAATCCAAAAGACTGCCCGGCAAAGGTTGGGGCCGGATCTGGCAAGTCCACAAGTGAAGCTGGGCAGCAGAAGTTTCAAAATGATTGTTGTAGGCGATTGAGAATCTACGGGCATATATAGGGCTTGCGGGTGTCGGGTCTAGGTTTAGGAGTTTGGGGCGTTTATTGGCTGAGGTTCGGGTGATTTTTTAGTGTTTGTGGGGTGGTCGGAGCTTAGCTGCCAAGACCTACCCTCGAAAAGGGTTAGGTTAGATAAAGCATCCGAACACGACCAGAGGGATGAGATGCTCAATCATCGAAAAGTCTCCGGTTTCCTGCGACGTTTTAGTTCGCGGGCATGTTTCACTTACAGTCACCAGATTCGAGATAGCCTGGGCATACTGAGTCTGATGACCTTGGGGTGTTTGACTCGCCCAGGGACTTGACGGATTCGTGTATTGCATGAAGTGCGTCAGCAGGCAGCTCCGATACAGCACCTCTTTCTTCCAGCTAGGTGGCTCCATAAGTGCATAGAGCTGGCTGTCCCAGGACTTTCCATTGGACAGCGGAAGAGAACTTCGAGAGCATTGTAGAAGCTTGGCAGCGAAGAGCGGAGACACTTCATGGGATTCTGTCAAGGTCCAGATCTAGCCAGTTCACTGGGCTTTGAAGTGGCAGAACAGTAGTGCTTGCTTCAGAGACCCACATGATGCATGGCCTAGGAAAGCAATCTCCGCGTTCCGAGCGCAGACCCTGCGGGTGTCAAGAAGAAGCATGGTGCCTTTGCCATGGAAAGCATTAGGGTTTGCTTGTTGTCAATATATACTAGCTGATAATCTGCCCAAGCCCACATCGTTCCACAACGGGTTTCTTGCGGTTCTATAAAAGCGCCTGTCCTTCCGATAGTGTGTGTTGCGAGCTTGTCATGTACATGTTTTTGGCAGAACTTGAATGAAATAATATGTCACAGTGTGCAGGAGGAACTGTCCAGAATAAATTTGATCAGGACTGCACGGCAGTGCTCCCGACGGTTTCTCGGGCCTTCAGTGTCTCGAACGTATCGGCTGCATGGGGTTCCTATCCTTAGTTCGGCATGACACCGTTCTTCAGCCCCAGTCGATGCTGCCAAAGAGTTCTAGCGCAGGTGCAGCATTTGGTCGGGGGATCTACACCTGTCCGGACTACAAGATGGCCAAGGAGGTGGGGGGAAAAGGGGGGGGGGGGTGGCGCAGATCGAAGCATCGGCACTGTCCAGGCACAAGCATGACTCAGCAGGATCATAGAACCTTGTCCAGCTTCTCTCTCAAACTGAACTTGAGTCTGTGCTTGAGTTGGCATCCGTCCCACTCTTCCGTGCTGAGTGCCCCCGCCATCAGCTTCGAACAGAGCTCCAAGGACTTCTCCTACGGTGCCAGCGCCACGTTCGCCTGTTTGGCCCTGGTCGGGCGGCAGAAAGTCAGGCACCATGGCAAGGCACGTGCTTGATTTGCTTAATCTGTCTTAAGATAGGCATGCACATACAGAGAGAAAGATTCCAGACAGACTTGGAAAATCCGCGGCATCGCGCGGGTGTGCAGGGCGTACTGCAGTGCGTTCCTCTAAGCAGAAGAAAGAGGATACAGATACAGACCTAGACATAGAATGATACAGTAATTAAGAATCCCTTCCTGACACATGAATGATCATGTTGCGCGAGGGGTGTTTGTCAGTCTGTTTGTTTGGCTGGCTGGCTGTCTGTCATGTATGTACGTACGCACACGCGTAAGTATGTAGCTACAGGTACTGTTATGCGATGTCATGTAGTGTAATGTAATGTAATTTAATGTAGATCGAATTAATGTGGTGCTCTGCAATGTACTGTGACGCATACAATGTACACGTATGTTTTATTTGTTCATGATTCCTTCGTACAGGCTAAAGGGCCGTGCATGCGGCAAAGCCGTGAAGCGGTACACCGGAAGCATGCTTGTAAGACGCATAACTGCTACCATATACGGAAAGAGTAGGGATTTGAAGCCTATGTCTGCAACTACACGCAGAGATGACAGTTGGTGAAAAAAGTTGAACATGAGAAGGTGCCATGCGTGATCGTGTCATGCATGCGCAAGTATGAATATTTATGTACACACATTCAGACAGATGCTTGCAGATGTAGGTCTAATGTATCTGTGCCTGCTCAGTGTATGTAGGTGAACATGTGACAACATTCATGTATTCAATTCTCCACTTGGTATACATCTACTGCATCACATGCGGTATCACTGACATCCGGTTGACTATGTGGACCGCGTGCTGTGCGACTTCGGCTATTGCAATGTGATTAAATTATAACTGTAGAAGAATATTCCACGCAAGGTGATGAAAAGGTAGTGAAAGCAGCCGCAGCCAGCCGAGCTTGGTGGTTTGCCTTTCGCAGTGCGGGTAGGGGGGGGCGGTGCTTGCAAGGGGCCGCAAACTGTTCGACTTGCCGTGGCTATTACTTGGTACTCGTAGAGACAGCCTCGTCGTGCCCCCTGGCAGATGCAGTATTCATGCCCAAAACACACTGCGAACATGATGAGTGAGACAGCGAAACAGAGGAAGCTATCTAGTCTAGATAAAGTAGATCGAGAACGGACTGTCGCAGCAACAGCGCTTATGGATAGAAGCGTGCAGGCTTTCGCCAACGTCCACTTAGCTCGGGAACTTATCTATTTGCCGTTGGCCTTGTTAATCTTCACAGACTTGCATGCTTTTGTGGCCAAGGTCTCAGTAGAAATCCGGGAGAGCTGCATCCCTGGAACACCCTAAACCCTGATGGCTGCGACCCGACCTCGGCAGAGAGAAAGTCCCACAGCACTTTAAAAAAAAAACCTAAATCCTAAACCCCTAAACCCTAAAACCCTAAACAGTAGTGTAGAAGAAATCAGGGTCACGGGCTCTCCGAGAGCCACGGAGCGGAGTTCGACAGCGTCCTCGGCAGGATGCAACTTTGCCGCGGAATTCGGGTTTAGGGTTTAGGGTTTATAGGGCTTAGGGCCTAGGGTTTATAGGGGTTTAGGGGTTTAGGTGTCGTGTGCTGTTGGAGCTGCCACATGTGGTCAGGGAGGTTTGGCTTCAACATTCGGTGGTCGTTACGTAGAGTGCCTATCCTAGGGAGTGGAGTGCTTGTGTGCTAACGTTTTCGGGCCTCGGCTGAAGAACGGCAGAGGAGGCAGTGCTGGCAGTCATCGAGTCCGGTTTCAAAAGGGGTTTAGGGTTTAGGCAAAAGGGCGGTGGATCTGAAATTCCTGATGGCCCTTGTAAGAAACACAAGACTCCAAAGTCAGAGAGGGTGTCTTTGTGGTAGTCACGGCAGCAGTATTTTGCTACTGAATTATTGGTGAGTCATATCTGTACTCAGCTGTTTCACTCTTTAAACATTAAGCATGAGCTCGCCCAACCTCTGGATTGTTAGCTCCAGTCATACGATAGCCGGTCATGCGGTAGGCCGTAGGCCCCGTAAGCGTACATGTGCCGAAGAATCCTCTCGGAGAAATTGGACCCGTGCTACACAAGTCCTAGGCCGGTCTGTCTGTCAAACCCAACCTGCATCGGCACAGCATTGTGAAGTCAAGTGCCCCATGAATCTCCTGCGATCCCTGCACCCTTTGCTCGACTTTCTACTGCACCATGATTTTGGAGCCTAGCTAAATTGGATTGCCCACATGACACGAGGCCTGGTAGGAACTGCGCTACCTGGGTGCTGCCTGCCAGCGCTGCTTGTCAGAAATGCCTCCCCAGTACTGAGACTCTTTGAGACTCTGCGGGCTTGGATTCAGTCTTAGAGGGAGTGTTTGCCTTGATGCCGCAAATCGCAGAGGTGCCGACAGGCGTTACGCAAAGTTGCTAAGACTTGTACTGAGCCTGTGCTGAGGAGTTCTCAAACCGCGCCGACGCATAGTGAGACCACTGGCACCAAGGACCAGATATTGCCATGCTTCCTGGTGGATGAAGTCGCTTTGCCTGCGGCTGTCGCGAAGCTTCGGCAGGTCCGGAATTACCCTTATCGAGTGACAAGAATGCACATGGTAAGGATGAGGATGAGAGTGACGAAGACAGTGATGGTGCTGATGACCACTGCAGTGGGATAGTGGCAGAGACCGCCATGATATTGCTTTATTATCCCGCAGTTCATGAGCCTGATCGATATTGGACAGCAAAACCAGCATAGGATTTTGGCCGTAGTGTGGATCTGGGCCAGAATCTAAGCAGTTGATGCAGCTTTCCTGGCGAGTTGCTGTGGCAACCGCAGGAGCCTGGTAGCTTGAACTTCCAGCCCTCCCGCCTCCCCGATCGAAAGATGCCTGGACATCACAACACTGAAAGGCAGTGGCCCTGATCCGGGAACCCTGGCCGACCAAGCCGACATCTCCTCCGAGGGAAGCACCAGAAGAGGACCAGCACCTTGCCCAATTCCAAAAGCTTGTGAGTGGTCTTGGTGTGCGCTGTGAAGGCTTTCTGCTTCCCGGCCGTATGCTGCAAGAGAAGCTGTACTCCGTCATGCACGTGCTTGAATGAACGGCATCTTCTTATCTATCCTCGTATTCTCCGGAGTCTATTTGATTGAATATCTATCTATCCATCCAGTCCATCCACCCATCTCCCGGTACCTACATGTACAGGGAAGCACACGTGGATCCCGGTCTCTCGGCTTACAACCGCCGCTGGCAGGAGCCCCGGGAGGATGCCCCTACCGAAACACAGCCGGCTCGGGGCGATGAGGATAAGACTTCAGTGACTAGCTAGCAGGGCTGAGGGTGTGGATTTCTAGCTTCCTTTCTCGGGCGTCGGGTTTCCGGCTTCTAGGTAATCTGGCTGTTGACAAACTGCACTGTTTTCTAGGATGGTATAGCTGTCAGAACGGACTGCTGCCAGCACCGACGAGTCATCCGTCCATCCTGCCCGACATAGGCACGAGGGTCGCACTCGGCGTGATCTTCCCGCCCCGAGTGTGTCCTTCGGTGGTGGTTGTTAAGCAGCGAGGTTGGCTCAGGTCTTCGCTGTTTCATCATCCATCAGATCCATCCAACTGTCATCCCATGTGCGCTGCTTGACTCAGTATGGCGTTATCCATCGCTGGCTGGGGTCTCTCCCAAGTCAGTGGCTTGGTTGGCTCAATGGCAATTTCAATCCAACTACCAAAGATGGCGACTTTATAATACGCAGCAACACCGGCCTGAGGCCTGCAGGCTTCGAGAGTTCGAGTGGTTCGTACGCCACTGAGAACCCGTCTATGAGAAGAAAGAGAGTCGGGAGGAGTCCGAAACCCAGGCGATGCGCACGAAGTACGATAAGATGAAGATATTGACCGTCGCTTCTGCACTAGATAGAACAGGCTTCGAAACGGCACGAAACCAATCCGGATATTGTAGTATGACGGACACACTTGCCGCAGTTCTTACGGAAGGAGAAGGAGGAGCTCCTCCAAGCGCCACGCTGGCGGCGAGGCGACCGGCAGACAAGTTCGCTGGAGCCTGACAGTCTGGACCTTACTGGCAACGTCCCTTTTGTTTCGAGGCAGAGTCCTGCGAGAAGGTGGTTTTCGAGCTGCTACATATCATGCTCCCTTCCAGGCATTTTATCTTATCATACTCTCGTGCACTGCGTTCCTGCTCGAGGCGGCGATGCCACTCTGAGGCCATCCGGGGCAGAGGCCATCTGCATGCAAAAGTGGTTGCAAGCAGCGGAATCGAGCGTGCTTCGAAGGATGAATATCCGATAACACACGGTAACATGTGTTTCTATGTTTGTATTCCTGTTTCCTCATTCCTATGCTCCTGTGTTGAGCCACGGACTTGAAACAGCATGGCCCTGCTCGAGAAGGCGGAAGTCGCTACAGCCCTACCCTACGGCGGTGACCTCCAGGCAGCCATGAGGGCTCAGGACAGGCGTGGCAGCAGATGAAACCTTTCAGATGGACGATTAGTGGGCGTGGGATTTTCTAGTTGGTCAGGACTGTTGAATTTCGAAAAGGTGACATGGATTCCCGGCTTAATGCGTACGTTGTGTGTAGCTCCGGTATTCCTAGCAGACCTGTTGGACAATGTGTGGCAGGAAGTTTCCGTCTTGGTTCCATGTTGAGCTTGTTCAAAAAAGAGTGAGTACGCAGGCCCGGTAGTGGCCGATACTTATCATGCTTTGGGGAGCATCCTCCCGACTGTTCTCCGACCTGCCTGAACTGAAGTCATGCTTGCAGTCGCTCCCAAGCGATTTGCAATCTAGTAGAACCATGCAGCTCCCAAAGTGTGGAAAAAAGCGGGCCCAAAGAGGACAGAGCCGCCATCAAGCTCCTGATGACGCTGCGGGATCAAAGTCAGGCCCAGTGGATTGTCAGTGGATGTGGCCAAGACTCGTGGCTTAATGCCAGGCTAGCAGTCTGACAAGTGACAAGTCCTTTGCACTCATTGCCGCAACCAGGCTCCCAAAAGTGCTGCGCGACGCACCCGGTGGGGAGCCTTGTCTGGCAACGGCCGAGGCTTTGTACCAGCACAGGCGAAAGTTGAATCTTTCTCTACTATACATTATGCATGCGGGGGGCGTAAGCAAATTGCGGGCTGCAGGTGAGGATTCTGTTCCGTGGGCTCATCTGCTCCCGACAGACCCGTCATCGTTCAAATTCTAAGCCCGAGAGGTCGTTCCAGTACCATCCTGGCTGCATGGTGATGTTTCATTGTAGACTATGGGTAGGGTTGAAGGATTTCGGGTCGCCTCTCAGGGATCTTCCTCTTCTTCATGACCACCATATACGAATTTTGCTCAAGCAATGAACAGTCGACATCACCAATAAGAGAAACTGCAACCAGCATATTCACAGTCACAGTGACGAGGAAGAACAACCAGCATCATGTTTCATCCTTTCCGAAACGAACTTCGTTTAACTGGCAGGAGAGTAACACCGATCATCACCGAACTTCTGGCACACTCTTTTTCGGCAGCGTACAGAGGAATTCCGATGATGATGCTGCAGAAGACAGCGAGGATGAGGATAATGCTTTGTTTACCAGCCCTCAGGCCGCTGAATTGAACAGCACTGCTACTCGACCCTACTCCTCTTCCGATGAAACTATTGCTGTCAATGGTACGAACTGTATATTACTGTACTGCTACCGACACTGTACCATTGTGCTTGTCCTTACCGGCTGCTTCTCTGCACTGACTTAGGACAGAAGAAAGAGGAAAAGGAGGAGACCCGGAGATCGAATGACTCGAGGCCGGATAGAAACTGCTACTTTGGTCGTCGTCCTTGTCGTAGGAGTAGTAGTAGTAGTAGTCGTCGTCGTCGTCGTCGTAGTAGTAGTAGTAGGCGCCCCCCCCCCCCCTACCAACCACCTCTGCTGC